TGTGCACAAATAAATTAAATTAATAAAAACTGTACAAGCAATTATTTTGGCGTACCACGACAATTGTTAAACAAATTTTAATCTGTGGATATTGTGAGTACTTACACAATGGTTATTAAGGAGTCATTAAAAAGTGCTATAAACGCTTTTCACCGCTTGCTGTATAGTGATTATTTAGGAGTCATAAAAGAGTGTAACAAACGCCTCTCAGGTTCAATCTCTAATACATTTCGAAGCAGCTGTTAGGAGGTGTCTACAAACGTTGTATTAGAGCTTTCACCAAAACAATAAAGCTTGAGTTTAAATATGTATCTATAAACGTTGTATAAAAGTTGCTTCTACTCCTATACCGCGTATACATATAATGCTGTAGTTGAACAGGTTCTCCAAACCAGTGTAAACAAAAGTTTTACAGAAGTTGTAATAAACAAATTGTACAGTTATTATTCAGCATGCAGTTGAATAAAATCACAATGGAAGCGTTTCTTCAACAAGAAATTGATTTTGGATAAACGTTTTACTGAATACGTTAGACAACACCTTTGTGTTGCAGTTGTATAGGTTCTCCAAACCAGTGTAAACAAGGGTTTTATAAAAGTTGTGGTGAACACATTGTGCAATTATTATTCAACATGCAGCTGAACAAAATCAAAACGAAAGCGTTTCTTCAACTGGAAATTGTTACTTGGGGTGCGTTGTTCGAGTATCGGGACACTCTCGAGTCCCTTTGAATCTCGAAGGGGGCTACGGCAAGGTGATGGACTTTCGTGTCTGCTGTTCAACATAGCGTTAGAAGGTGTGATCAGAAGAGCTGGGATAGACACGAGTGGCACGATCTTCAGGAAGTCCATCCAGTCTTCTTGGCTACGCTGATGACGTCGACATCATGGCACGGAACTTTGAGACGATGGCGAAAACGTACATCAGACTGAAGGCTGAAGCTAGGCGGATTGAACTTGCCATCAACGCATCAAAGACAAAAATACATGAAAGGAAGAGGTTCTAGGGAAGACAATGTTAGCCTTCCACCCCGAGTTCAGATTGACGGTGATGAAATCGAGGTGGTCGATGAGTTTGTGTATTTGGGCTCACTGGTGACCGCCGAAAATGATACCAGCAGAGAAATTCAAAGACGCAGTATGGCAGGGAATCGTGCCTACTTTGGACTCCGCAGGACGCTCCGGTCGAATAAAATTCGACGCCGCACGAAGTTGACTGTCTTCAAGACGCTGATTAGACCGGTGGTCCTCTACGGCCACGAGACCTGGACTATGCTCGTGGAGGACCTACGTGCTCTTGGTGTTTTCGAACGGAAGGTGTTGCGTACCATCTACGGTGGAGTGCAGATGGATGGATCGCGTAGAGTGGAGGCGACTTCTTTGGAGAGAAGAGGACAACAAGGCCTTAGCCTGATTGGCAAGGTAAGTGATGAATGTAGTACCAACAATCAATACGAAACTAACGATTTTAAATTGGCTCACCACTTTAGTAGCCTATTGGTCCCAAGCAAACGATTAACGTACCCTATTCTAGTCGAAATTCTAGTACTATGCAATGTTTGTTTTGATTCGCTATGAAAGTTTGACAGATAAAATGAGGGGTTATTGGTTTTTCCTATTTTTCGAGGGGTGAATCGATTAGCTTGGGACCGAAGAGAGTACCAGAGCTGAGCCAAAAAGTTGAGCACGTTATTTCGGGACCTTCTGGTCTTAGAGTTACCTCTATGGTAGTACACTCAAAGATAAATTAAATCAAAAAATCTTAAAAAGTATGCAGATTCCCGCTTCACCTTATTGAGTCCGAGCCATGATTACTTCGGCAGTAGTCATGCATGATGAAATTCGAAATAATCTGTCCAGTATTAAATTTTATTATTTTTGAATATTAATATATAATCAAAAAAGATTAAAATTCAGAGCTTTGAGTGGGTTGGTTTATTTCCTTTAAATTCCGTTATAATTGCTTATCTTTTGACAGATACGCGTATTTCGTCTACTACTTGCAGACTTCATCAGTGCCAAGTACTCAACACCACACAGTGGTGAATATTGTCCGATATATTTGTGGTGAAGAACTGTGGAAACAGAAATACATCTAGAAATTATTGAACAGCCATATAAATTTTCGCTATGAGAAATTCAGTATAAAAGACCTGTGCTCGTGATCAATATCACCCACTAAAAGATGATGCAAATCTGCACGCAGGCTGCCCACTAGAGTGATGCAAAATTTGAAATTTTAGCTCCACAATACTTAAACGATTCCAAATCGGATCTTGACTAACCTCTCAAAATTTGAACCAATTTGGTAAGAAACTGAGATGGCACAAACCACTTGAAGTTTGTTATCAATGGTTCAATGCGCTGATGTCTTATGATCATGCTCAATCAACTGCTCATCAGGCAACATTGGTGTTTCTGGGGCGTTGAATAGGACATACAAATCATGGCTACTATGTCACACTGCAAAATACAGTGTTGCCTACAGAACAACTGCTTGATCATGTCATAAGTTTACCAATCTCTTAAATAATTAAAAACTATTTCCTGTCTCGTTTTACGTAGAAACAATCTTCAGCAAAGTTGTAGCAGAGAATATTTTCTATAAGAATGGCTATCGAACTGTTTCGCAGCTCAATATGGAAAAAGACTAGAAGGCAATGAACAAAAAGTTGAGATTTCCCGTAGTAATTTACATGTAAACTTCAAATGGCTTGTGCGAAGTCTGTTTCTAACCAAATGTGTTGTAACTTTGAGAGGCTAATCAGGACCCGATTTGAAACCATTTAAGCACTGTGGAGCGAAAAAGTCAAATTTTGCATCAGTCTACTGCCCACCCACGCGCTGCCGGCGCGCTTATGGGCCAGCATATCTAATGTGAAAGGTATACCTTGCGTAGGGGTAAGAGGGGCATAGTGAACAGGTGGGGCATAGTGAGCATCCCGTGCACAGCTTGGACTTCCAGCCGTTCGGAACAAATTGGTTGGTGGTAGGATCAATATCATAATGATATTGAACCTACTACCAGTTGATTTGTTTCATGCAGCTAGAGATCCAGGGCCACTGTGGGCCCTAATAAAAAATAACCATAAACGAACGATAACCCAAACCATTCAACTATTCCACAAATGGTTTGGATGATACCCAGAACACGTCGTTAAGCAAATTAACCATACAATTTTTATTAGGGGGGTGCTCACTATGCCCCACCTGTTCACTATGCCCCTTCTTCCCCTATTCAATACATGAGTGTCTAAGCGTGCACTCATGAGTGCTTTTTGTTGATCGTTGCAAACAGAAGAGATGCGAGACGACATTAACGATAGGGTGGTAGGGTTTTTGCGGGGAATCGAAGAATATTGACTTCTCGCTTCAGGAACTTACTAATAAATATTGTGGATGCGACTGAAAATCAAAACTATATTTATCGCTGGAATCACTCCTACGCATACTTGGCATACACAGTTGCACACACCAACTGTTCATTTGTTAATAACTTTACACAGAGTTGACGAAACATAGTTCTTTTTGAAGCAGTGGATAGAATAGAGTTTAAGCTTGTTTATATTACATAAAACAAAGTAGATTTTAATTCAAGTAACAAACTGTATTTATTTTTGCGTTGTAAAAATGAAGTGAGAAATGCTCGCTGCAAATCTCGGACTTTTAAGAATAAAAATTAATTGGTGTTGATTCAAATGTTAAGATTTGTCTACTTTTTGCATATCTATAGTAAGCTATGACCCTAATCTATCAATTACTTTAACGAAAAACAAATTTCAACAACTGAGTAAAAAGTTATTAACAAATGAGCAGTTGGTTTGTACAACTGTGTATGCCAAGTAGGAGTCACTAAAGGGCCTGAGCTCAACAGGGAGGGAAGTGAAGCTGTAGGTCTCCGGTCCATGAGTTAATAGGTCAATAGGTATACCTAATAAACAACATAAATTAACTGTATTCCGGATGGGTAAACTATCCAAAAAATGGTTTGGATAATACCCCGAACACGTCGTTAAGCTCTGTTTTATGGTAATTTTTATTAGGGTTTCATTTCTCGATAATTACGGAAAACAAATCAAGGAAAAAAATGTTGACGTCGGACGTCGCGTGTACCAGACACGCGTTATGATTTAGTGGTTGGGTAGGGTTTACGAACCATCGATTTCCTGACCATTACATTACGTTCAGTGAGCTTTTGAATATCGTGGACCCCCGGTAATCTGACCGTGTTTAATATGAACACTTTTTAATTTGACTAATCAGCGCTGATTTAGCTAATCTGCACGCCGTGAAAACTAACGTCATTTAGCTCGTGGAATGGAGTAAAGTGAAATGGAACATTGTGAAACGGAACGCAGAATCAAAACAAAACAGCAAATAAGGCTTCTGATGCTCATAGGGCTACTACACGGATAGAAATCTCCGTATACCTTTTGGCAAATTTCGATTGCTGATTATTCATAAAATGTATAAGTCAACTAGTAAACAGATGCCTTGCAAAAAGTTAATGAAGATCGTGTGTCAAATGAAATGTATAAACGGTCACATATACCTTTTATGTATTCACATGCATAAACACAATAAAATAATTGATTTTCGTTTCGTGTAGAAGTTCAAATTAAAAATGGACCCTTTTAATATGAATGAAGTGTCGTTCAGATTAGCGGGGGTCAAATTAAAAAAAAAATCATTAAAAACGGTCAGATTACGCGCCACCAAACCACGACGACGGTGAAAGCCAGAGACTGGAAATCTTTCTTTCTTGAAATCAAAACCTGCCTGCAAGCAGGAGGAAAACTTGTGTGAAAGTTATTCAAACTTTTATCAATGTGTGTTTGTTTATTTGTTTCCTTTGTTTTCACCGCTCCAATTTCTATTCCCTAAACTTCGTGGTGGAGTGAAAATAGCCTGGCTTAGATTTATTCCTTCCCTCTTCGTTCTTCTCGATTCCAATGATCGGCTTACCCTGCCTGCTAGTAATCGATTACCAAATTTGACCGATTTTTGTATTTTGTCGTAGCGAACCTGCTGGGGCAAGCTTGCGGAGCGCAATTTTCTTAAATCTTTTTAAGTTTTGTTTTATAAAGAAGGTGATAAGACTTTATTAAGATTATTAATACTATCACTTGTTGGTTGTTGGTTTTTATGCGTGATGATCCAATTTTTTTTTGTCACACGGTTTTTCGCCGAGAGTATTAATGGAAGAAATGCCTCAGATGCAGTCTTCCATTGCGCATTATATAGGTTATTTGTTTTCCGTCCAGTTCGGAGTTTGCCGGCAGCCGAGAAATGAACCGAAATTGAAACCCAAACCGAAAGGCGAGCGATGTGAAATGGCAACGTTTAAAGAGAAAGAATAGGATTTTTGATACTCTACTAGTATACTCTTACACATCTAATTGTCGATTTTTCCGGTTGTTTTGTTTCTGATTCGAAGAACAATAAAATTAGCTTTATTTGTTATGCAATAAGGATACATGTAACACTATATAAAACATGCTATATCGTTTCCTCTCTTTTTTTTCTAGTTAATGTTTAATGTTAGATTTGACTAGATTGTTCAATTGCCCACTACTGGTTTTTACTGTGCTTGCTGCGCGAAAAGAACATACATATTAGTTAAAACAACCATTTTCCTTGACTTCTTCAATCATTGAAATAAACTACTAACAACTATCATTTAACTTAAAGCTAACAGAAAATAGATTTACCTTTTCTAAAAAAAATACCAATAGGAAAAAACAGACAATAGAGAATAAAATGAACAAGTATAGCTCAGTGTATGAGTGTTTGCGTTTGTCTTTCTCGAGAAATCTCAGAACAATTGTCGTCACCGGAAGTCGCCGGAAGGGTTCGACGGTACGGGGAAAAAAGTGTACTCTCTCACCGCTTCCGCTCTTCCCGTGTTCGTCGTAGAATGGCCTCGTCTTTGGCTTTCACAAAAATTGTATTGTTACTACTACTACTACTAGTATTACTGCTGCTACTACTATAAGTAGTGAGAGGAGAGTGGGGCTTGGTTGCCTGCCCACTGTGGAGTGATAAATCACGCCTATTTCGAGGTGAAATCCGGCCAATAGTTGATGTAGTACCGATGGGTGGTGCCCTCGAACAAGCGATCCAACCAGTTGGGCAGCCCATCGAGCAGGTTCTCCTCCAGCAGGATCTTCGGCTCGGAGATGTCGGACGTGCTGGTTTCCGAGTCGGAACTGTCCATCCCCAGGAAGGCACCGGCTTCCGGATCCGAGGGCATCGTGCTCAGCTGCCGGGTCATCTTCATCATGCGCTGTGGGTGGGATATGGGATGGAATAAAAAGAACGGTCAGTGTTTGGAAAGCAGTCTCATAAAACGAAGGCCTCCATCTGGGTGTCTGTCAATAATACACATTTGCTAGAGTGAGTCAATACGTTAAATCTAGCGTTTAGAATCATAAGGGCCTAACTGCGATAATCGATTTTCTTCTACTATTGTGCTATTTACGCGAAGGATTTCATTAGACATCATAATATTTTGTTAGGCATACTTTAAGAACTTTCTAATGCTGTCAAACATCTTGGAGGAATCCTTGATAACTTAATTGGAACATGCATCTAGAGCAGGCAATAAACAAAGCTACTAATGCTCTATGGATATGCAAAAGAACATTCGGGAAACAGTGGGGACTGAAACCGAAAGTGATCCATTGGATTTACTCGGCAATTGTGAAACCCAGGGATACTTGATCTGGTGGCTCAGGGAAAGTTAGAAAAACTCCAACTCTCTCGATAACAGGTGCAATGAGAAGTACACCATCCAAGGCATTGGATGCTTTGCTTTCTATGCTACCATTGCATCACTTTGTACAATTAGAAGCCGAAAAGTATGCTTTAAGGATTATAAGGTCAGTGAAACCTATAACGATGCACACCAGGATTGTCACTCTGGGGTGGCAGCATCTCCCCCTTTAATTCAAGCCGATGATGTAGTCTTGCAAGTGTTTCGGAAGCCGACGCTCTCTGGCTGGTCTGAGAGACTTCAATGTTGATGGCTCAACTGTTGGTGGATTGGAGTTCGTTAAACCAGTCTCGAAGAATTCGTCGTTGTCTAAACTGTCATCCTGATGCTGACTAGTTTTAACCTGTTCCTGTTCAATCAATTTCGTATTCTGTTGTGCAGTGGTCTGCTGTGCTGAAGAACGCCGCATGAGTTCGAAGTCATCCACCAGGATGTCCAATTGAGTTGGTGTTGTAACAGGCTTGGGTATATGATCCGCATCTGGGTCGAAGCTGGTTCGCGTGTGATCGAATAAGCTTCCTCCGACCTGACTGGTAATCGAGTAGAACGTTGAAATTGACTCCTCCAATTGATTCAAGAACAGTGCCGGAAGCCCATTTCCATTTGTTCGTATTCTGATACAGCTTCGCGTAGACTGTGGAACCCGATCCCCCTTATTCTGCGAGTCACGTGACTCTCTCTCACCGGTGAGGTGACAATAGTCACCTCGTGTGAGGTGACTCTCCATTTGATTTGCATGGAGAGTCACCTCACACGAGGTGACAATTGTCACCTCACCGGTGAGAGAGAGTCACGTGACTCGCAGAATAAGAGGGGATGTAAACTTTGGACTCTGTTCATCGGACTTACTGTTGAACGCTGATCCAATGTTGTACGCATCGGTCTACCCAGCATTTCCTCTGAAGGTGACTTACCAGCAAGACCTGTTTTGGGCGTAAAACGGTACACTTGTAGAAAAGTTTGAAGCGCTTCGACTGATGGAACTTCTTCCCGCTCAACAATTTTGCGCAATGAGCGTTTTAGGGTGTCGATAAAGCGTTCTGCCTGGCCATTTGACTGAGGGTGACATGGCGCTGAACGAATGTGGATGATTCCGAGCTGCTGACACATCTTCTTGAATTCAGCGCTACAGAACTGCGTTCCCCGTTGTTTGTGACAATTGTCACCGGAATACCGAATCTGGCAAAAAATTTCTGAAGAAATCTGATCGTGGCAGCTGCTGTCGTCAAGCGTGTTTTTTAAAAATTCTGGCCATTTCGAATATGAGTCCACTATGACTAAGTAGTTCATTCCGTCAAGTGACCCTGCGTAGTCTAGATGGATTCTCTTCCATGGACCGTCTGCTCTTGGCATAATGCACCGGAGATTTTGCACAAATGCAACACCGACGAACCAGATGCTCAATATCATTATCGACGTTCGCCCAGTAGACTACACTGCGAGCGATGGCTTTCATCGTTTCCATGCCTTGGTGACCACGATGAAGCTGCTTTAGAATGCGTTGCTTGTAACATTCTGGTATCACTACACGGTCGTTCATCATGATGCATCCATTGACTACTGACAAAGACTCGCGTCGAGTATGGAAGGTTTTCAGGTTTCGATCTGCGATAATGCTGCTGTTCGGCCAACATCCGTCAATGTATTGTATGACTTGCTGCAGTAGTCCGTCCTTCTTTGTTGCTGTCCTGACCATCTTGAAGTTCACTGACAGCGATGTAAGACATTCCTCCAGGCTTGCGTTGACTTCTTCCTCCAGACTGACGGTTCGACAAGCGCTGACATTCCGTGATGAGCACTTCGAGATTGATCTCCCTTCCGGCTTCAGACTCCAACTTCGACAGAAGGCGCGTTCTGACCTCCGCTTCTGTCGAAGACTGCATTCCGCAGATGAAAATCCGGAATATGTGACGTAATCATCCGCATCACTTTTGACTACCCGTAGGCAATCGTAACGTTTGCTCAAAAGTTATTTTTGCTGACCTGTAGAAGAATATGTTGCCTGATAGGCCATGATTTGTAGCCATGGTACACACTCAAAAATTATCGCCAACTTCGGTAATTTTTACCGAAATCCGAACAGCTGAACTTAAAATTATGCAATTCAATTCAATTGCTTTTCAGCTACTTTGAAACTAAATCTCCACTAAAATGACAAGATTTGATCATTTAGACAAGGTTGAGCATGTTTCGAAATTATTTTCAAATTCAATAGCCTTTAAAATGAAGGTCAAAGTTTTACCGAACGTTCAGCTGTTCTGATTTCGGTAAAATTTACCGAACAAAAGTAACAAACTGAAAATATTTTGTGAGTTTAGTTCCAATCACCGAAGAGGCAAGTCGAAATATAAATAGCTCTTAAACCTAAAACTAGTTTCCTTCTCTTCGAGAACACAACATATTTTGGCGACGAGGTAAAGTTCCTGGGAGTTTCCGGAAGTAACATCAAACTCTGTTCCTGTTTTACCGTTGAAGCCCTCAAATCACTACGAAATCAAGAATGTCCGACAACGATCTGAAGCAAGCAATTCTCCGACTGACGGAACTGATCGCCAACCAGCAGCAGCAAATTGGAGCCCTTCAACAGGTCAACGCCAATCAAGTTGGAAGCGAGAAGATCATCGAGTCACTCTCCACCGGAATTGACGAGTTTCGATCCAGACGGAGCTAAAGCTAAGGTCAGGCTGCTTCTGAGGAAGATCGGCACGCAATTCCACGAACGCTACGTGAACAGCGTTTTTCCAAATCATCCACGGGATTTTGTGTTCGAAGAAACCGTCAAGAAGCTTAGCTTCGGACACCAAAAGTCCACTGAAATCCTCTTCAACGGACGTTATCAGTGTTTGCAGTACATCAAAAACGACGCTGATGATTTTTCGTCGTATGCAGCGTCGGTGAACAAGCACTGTGAAGCGTTTCAGATCGAGAAGCTCTCCAGCGACCAATTCAAGACGCTCAGGCTCGTATGCGGTCTCCAGTCACCGCGCGATTCGGACATCCGGACCAGGCTGATTGGAAAGCTGGAAGCAGAAGAAAACCGCACCGCCAGCTGACGGTGCAACCATAAAGGTAACTCTAAGACCAGAAGGTCCCGAAGAAATGAGCTCAACTTTTTGGCTCAGCTCTGGTACTCTCTTCGGTCCCAAGCTAATCGATTCACCCTTCGAAACATAGGAAAATCCACTAGCCCCTCATTTTATCTGTCAAACTTTCATAGCGAATCAAAACAAACATAGTGTAGTACTGGAATTTATACTAGAATGGGGTACGTTAGTCGATTTGCTTGGGACCAATAGGCTAGTCAAGTAGTGAGCCTATTTAAAATCGTTAGTTTCGTGCAACGCTGAAGCTTGAAAACCTGGTTGAGGAGTGCAACCGCATTATCAACCTCAAGCAGGATACGAAGATGATCGAGAAAGGTTGCTCAGATAGATCTATCATTCGGAAAGCTAACGCCATTGCGGAAGGTTGTTACTTACGCTAATCCGGTGTTATTTTTGAGTTTTTTTTTAAAGTGAAATTTTCTAACGAACAATTTTGTGGATTCTCGCTGAAGTCGTGAAAAACTTTTTCTCGTGAATTGATAAAACAATAAGTGCTTCCAAGAACAGAAACTAACAGAAAAAGAAACGTGATCAAGTTCCTACAAGATGGCTGCAGTCGGCGGGGGTACTGAGCCCCCCGACAAGCAAGATCCAAGGAAAGATGGCGAAAACAAAATGGACGACAACCAACACCAAAACGAGCATGAGTCATACCTGTACACTGCAGATGATGAAGCACCATACAGAATCTACATCGAGATCCAGGAAAAATCAAGAACGATTAACAAATTCTCAGTTGGACAATTATTGAGGAAACTGCCACGTTATCGCAACTACATCGAGGAAATGAAGTATTTGGGAAGAAAGAAGATTATTGTATTTGTCAGTTCGTGGATGCAAGCCAACTTACTGGTTGGAGAACAAATGCTACGCGATCGAGGATACCACGCATATGTTCCACGCCATCTGGTGTGCATAAAAGGAGTTGTGAGCGGAGTAGATCCAGAAATCGACATAGAAGACATCAAACAGGAGATCGAAAGCAACACGCCGGTGGTGGATATCTACAGAATGAATCGATGGGTAAGAGAAAAAAGCAGAAAGGAAGCGTCAAATCGAGTCAGTATTACGTTCAGAGCGAGAAACCTGCCGGAGAAAATCAAGTTATTTGGAATCACAGCAAAGGTGCAGCCTTTCATACGACGGACGGAAATGTGCAATAACTGTCATCGCTACGGACATAAGCAAGACAACTGCAAATCCAGGAAAAGGTGTGAAAAATGTTCACAGGTACACGACGAAGAATCAAACCAATGTAACAATGAGGTCAAATGCCTGCATTGCCGCAGCTCCAATCACCGCAGTACAGATCCGGAATGTCCGGCACGTGAACGTGAAGCAGGAATCAAGAGATTGATGGCAAAACAAAACCTAACGTACGTGGAAGCAAGGGAACTAGTACCAACG